TTTTTGTCCCATCTCCGCACCTCTCCAACTGGATTCAAACCAACGTATGATGACACAACATCCACGGATTTGTTGTCAAACCACCTCAATGCTATAATGTTACAGGATGTTTCAACTTTGAAGTCTACAGATCCCCTTCCTTCTTTCTTTAATTCCTTTTCTGACTTCAGAATACAGCCCTTCAGCCTGTTAGATCTTACTGTGCCTACGTACCAAAGTGATCTATCCTGTAAAGCTTTAACTAATGGCAGGGATGTAAAATAGTTATCTGCAAATATTTTGTAATTATGTGGCTCCAGTGTTGAACATAACTTTAGGACAACATCACCACCAACACCAATAGAATTTGCAGCTTTCTCTGAACTACCTTGGTACACATCAAAATCGTAAAGAATGCCCGAGGCCCCTGCTCTTCCCCATAGCTTGAAACCCCATGGATTTGGTTTACCCCGAATATATTGTTTCAGGCTAGACTTCCCCTTGAAGGACACCATGATTTCATCAACTGCATGATTTTCCTCAGGTGGTATCTCAAGAAATCTGTTTCTCAACTGTTCAATCCATGGTCTTACTTTCCACAGCTTGTCTTTCTTTTGGTCATCAGTGACTGACATATTGTTAATGAAGTGAATCATGGTAGCAATTTTTTCAAACCTATTTCTTGATATTGCATCTGCAATAGGAGAAAAACGACTGTCTGTCTCCCAATAAGCACGAACTCTTGGCATCTGGACAAGGCCCATTCTCAAATACACGCCAATCATAATTTCAATTTCTTTCTGTGTAGTCGATAGCTGAATTCCCTCTTTCTGCATTGCGTAAAGGTTTGTTTGTTCAGATATACTTGAAATCATATGGTCAGTAACCATGAGTTTGAAAAATTGGAGTGGAGTCTTGAGCATTCCATCAGGAGGAGCTTCCTCAAGTTTTCCCTTAAAATCAGTGCATGGCTCTTTGTACAGCTGGTTTGACCAATTCCATTGCTGGTTTTGCAACTGAGGTAGTACATCTAGAAGGTCCGCATCTTCATTTATGTCCTGTAAACTCAATTCCCTGAGAGGAGGATCACTATGATTTCTATTCTGCTTTTTCTCCTTGATGTAAGCTGCTAGTGGGATATTTTCGGAGTCAGAATCACTGTCATGAACAGAGGTAGACTTTTGGGTTTTAAGTTTTTTTTTTAGTTGATACAAAGTCTCATCAGAATCAGATGATTCACATTCACTTGAAGATGAAGACTGTTCATCCAAATCACATTTTCTTAATTTAAATTCATCGCCAGAACTTTCAAAATCATCAAAATCACTATCATCATTCCTTATTTGGTTTATAAGATCCCGAACCTTTTTAGCAGCTGTTCTTTGTTTTCTCTCCATTTTGACACTGATAAAAAAATACATAAACATTAGAAATGACAGAAATATACATTCAAAGTATAATGAATGATTTATTTGCAAAATACAGATTTACTAATACAAAACTTTTACATTTGTTTCAGGATATAGTTTGTGTTTTATTTTAATATAAAGCAAGTATTAAATGCCCAATGTTTCATATGTGATACACAGATTCAGGTGATAACCATTTATTGATAAGCAAAAAATAACAACAATCTTTTGAAATTAATTGTGTAATATTTACTGTACATAACAATACGCACCAAAAACAACAGCTTACTTTTTAGTTTTCAAGTATTTTCAATGTTGAGAGTGCCCAAAATTTAAATGAGCTGTATCTTCTGTAAATGCCCGGTGTATCATATAATATACAAAAAAAATAATTCCCGATGTATCACATATGCAACACACCATTTCAAACAAATATTTGCATATAATCATGTATTACTTAGGTGATTTTTCATGCTCCATTCAATTATTTGATCCGTTTTAAAGATATTTTTTGAATTGTTTTTACAAATACTCACTGTATACTCTAGAAATTATCTGAAGAAACTCTGGCTCTGCACAGCGTTAGGTTCTTCATGGAGGCAGCCATGTTTGTTAGGATCAACAAGTCATGTGACGTAGAGTTAGGTTTAAATGCGAAACTAAACTTTGCTAATATGATGATGGAGAGTTCAAATCAAAGGGAGATAATTTATTATTCACAACGATTATAATTAAGCATACCATCCAAGTCCATGTAGCATATATGCTACATGGGGCACTAGAGGGTTAATTAGAATAAATGCAGCATTCATTTTATCGGATATGAAACAGTATATTAGTCCAAATTAGGTGCAGAACTATAGCTTTGTGGTTTTATCTTTTAGTCTCTGACCATAACGTTATGGTCAAAGAATAAAATAAACTCGTAAGGCCGTATATAGCTACAGTTCGATTCAGCAGTCAAGTCTCACTGCACAAATTTAACCTTTATTCTATTTATACGTATTTACTGTGTTGTTTAATGAGAAAAATAAGATTATATATCTATTTTTCAAGATGTATTAAATATAAATTTTATTTTTAATTCGTTTTAAAACATAAAACATTTCTTTCTTGCATTATCATTTAAGAAAATGGTCAAATTGTTATACAGGAATGTAGCAACAGGGGGGGGGGGGGGGGCTGCCCCCCACCTTTTTTTCCCAACCTTACTTATAATATAGGAAATGTTAATTGAAAGCCTAGTTGGCCCCCACCTTAGACTCTTAGTGATATACCGAAATAGTATTATTATAATTGGTACTAAAGGTACTTGAAACTGGGAAAAAAGTTTACCTAAACCACCCCCACCCCCACGAAATAGGATTTTCGACTACGGGCAACTTTTTCCTTGGTAAGTATAACAAAATTTTCTCTGGCTGCCCCCTCCCCACTTTCAAAAACGATGCTACGCCACTGTTATAAATATAATCAACGATTTCTTAATTATAGTAAAAACATAATAAAGGGAAGTAATTAATGTTGAACCAGCTTTTGATTCGTAAGTATGGATCTTGAATTTCGAAACTCGAATTTCTAATTTCGAATCTCGCATTTCGAAACTTGAATCTCGAATTAACCTTCTGGGCTTTCGTATCAATTAGCTTAATATTTTGCTATTGATAATACAAAGTCCTGTGCTTATACACATGTACGTACATATATAGAAGTGCTTTGGTTTAATGTAAATATGTTTGTATTGATTTTTTTTAAATGCCCAATGATTGGTTTTGCGCAGCATGTTTATATTTTATTATCGACGTAAACCCGTACAATGTTATCGATTTTTGTAACAAGGAACTCGTCCCCCCACTGTTTGGGAAGTTTTCATGTCGACTATGCAAATGATCCATAAATATATATAATAAATACATGTATACAATGAGACTTGCTTTAAAATGACCTTTCATATTTACAACAAACGGAATATATTCTTCTTTAAGGAATTAATTATAGCATACATTAATGCCGTGTTCACAATGAGAGTTTAATTCGAATTAAACGTAAGTTTACTGCGAATTAGCTTTTTTAAGCGTTCACATTGTTTGTGAGAATTTAAAGCGAATTAGTTTACTTTGCATTAGTTTACTGCGCATTAAATTACTTCGCATTAGCTCCGTGACAACGCAGTAACCGAAGCTAATGCAAATTTAATTTTGGGACATGCGTAATGGCAAAATTAGTCAAATGCGTCATTCGATGGTCATGCAGCTTTCCGTACTTGTGCTATTTTTAAGTAAAAAACGAAGAAAAAATGTGTTAATCACTAAAATATGTCTCCAAACACTGTGATATTATGTTAAATACATCTTTTATGCATAAGGTGATGGGATTTGCAAATGACGTCATAATAGCCTTGCTGACGCCATTTGTAGAAGTAAAATTCGCATTAGTTAAATGTTAGCTGTAAAATATAAACGCAATATAACACACGCATTAGTTTACTTCGCATTAATTTACCTAATTAATTTACTTCGAATTAAACTTTTCGTGACAACAGGGCATAAATTATGTATTAAATGTGTAATTATGCACAGTAGGGGAGGTGTGTTCAATGGAAAAAATCATGAAAAATTTATATATTTTCAAAAATGTAAATATATATTTTTGTTAACATTATGGAAAAATATATCTATTCATTTCCATATAAGTTATGATTTTATTTTTCTTTTCAATGTATATAGGAATAAATTTATAACACCATATAATGGAAATTCCAGCCACCGTAATTCAGATACAAAAACACTTGATCCTGATGTTAGTTATAAATTTCACTTCGCTAAAATTACTAAATAATCAGATAAACTAACGCTAAGAAAGACATGCAGCAATGAACACTAAATAGCCGAAGATAAATTGATGGGTATATATAATCAAGCTCTACGTATGAAAAATGTCAAAAAATCTATAAACAGGTTGCTGAAAAAAGTAGTTACCACTCGGAACTCTTCGGGTGGCTCGTACCTCGCACATTTAAATGTCGAGGTTTGAATGGAGCGTAGCGGAGTCAGCCGAGGATTATCAATTCTGTCGTTACATTGACCTTGTCAGCATACAATATTTATTATTACATACAAAATGTTAGGCCATTTTCTACATACTGAATTGACGCCGGATTTTTCCGATATTGCCGAATCATAACAAGGGGCACACGGGGACTGTGACCAGTCGGCAGGGGATTCTCGCTTCTCCAGGGCACCTGGTCCCGCCTTTGGTCTTTGAAGGTCTGTGTTTGCTATGCTTTAAAATTTATATTGTTCAATGGGCTTTGGTGCTTGAATACTGTTCGTTTTCTCCATTTATTTCACCTTTTTTTTCTTTTAAAATTGAGAGCGCTTCCTTCCAGAAAGAAAGTTTTCCGTTAACTCCGTAACTGCCTGTGTTTCTGGTTCATGGGTTTTTGTTAAAATTAACTTTCAGGAGAGATCTTTGAACTCATTAGTACAGAAAAACCACCTTAAAAGATTTTGGAACGCATCGATATTTTTACATATATGAAATATTACACATGTCAAATCAATTAAATACTTTTTAGGTGATAGGTACATGTAATTTTTTCTAGTAAGAACTTACCAATTCCTATGATTTTTTCTGACACAGCTCAGATATTGACTTCATGATGAAAAATGAATGCTTCCCTAACTTGTGTAATATAATTATTTACTTTCGCTTTAAATTCTCGGAAGTAACAACTATTTACGGCGCATGGTTTATGACATTGAAAGGTTTTTAGAAATTAATATTATCTTGTTATTTGAAATGTTGAGATAATAAATCAAGTTAGTATAATTCGTTATCAATCTGATCATTACTGCCTATCAATTACCGTCTACTCGATATCTATTATAAATATACTGCAGTATCACATGGCTTCGAGGGTGACATACCAGAATATTTGCCCCGAGGTGACAGGAAAGCCCTGGGGTGTTATATCACCCGATGCCAAAGGCAGAGGGTGACATAACACTCCCGGGCTTTCCTGTCACCGAGGGGCAAATATTCTGGTATAGTCACAATTGAAGCCATGTGGTATATGTTATATGACATTTTTAAAATTAAAAGAAAATTTAAAATCATTCAAAATTGTTCAAATGTACACAAATAATCCAAAAATACCTTCTTGACGTTAAGAATAACGCTCCGTTGTTTACATTTGCTAAGCAACCAACGTCATAACATCTCGAACTCGAGCTAAAATGCGTAACGTAAAAACACGTAAACGTGATCGAAATAGTGACATAACTGTTTCCGTAGAGGGTTGACATAACTGTTTCCAGCCGACATAACTGTTTCTGGTGTGACTCGGCATTTTTCAGGGTTTATAGCAAAACTTGTTACATTTGTGATATAATAGGAAAACCTATTCAAAAATGTTATATAAATAAATGATAATACAAAATAAGTAAAGTAAATATTGCACTCTAAAATTAAAAAAAAATGCTGAACAACTGCACAATTACAGCTTAACGATCCCCGAGTCTTTTTTTTTATCTACGCTGAAGTAATCGACTAGGTTGTTTAATAATATGTTAAAATATCCGGGAAAATAATTCCACTCATCCTATGCATAATTTCCAACTTGATTGATTGATTGTATATTGCTTAACGTCCCTCTTGAGAATTTTTCACTCATATGGAGACGTCACCGATGCCGGTGAAGGGCTTCAAATTTAGACCTATACTCGGCACTCAGGGCCACTGAGCAGTGAGGGTTCTTTATCGTGCCAACGCCTACCGTGACACGGGACCTACGTTTTAAGGTCATATCCGAAAGACCCGTGACTTTCACTTCTAGTGCCGAGCGCTTGGCGAAGGAACAGTCACTACCTTTGTTTACGTCTTAGGTATGACGCAGGCGCCGCAATCGAGAATCGAACCCGGGCCTCCCGATCACGAAGCGAACGCTCCGTGACCGGTAATTTTCAGCTTGAAAGATGTAGGATAAATTCATAGGAAATTATGATAAACAAAAATACATGGGGATAACAAATAATAATTATTCGATCTCAAAAGGCTACAAATAATACAAAATAAGGGCAGAGCAAACACGTACCTCCAAAACATCAGAGAAGAGATCATGTTCTATAAAAAAGTAAGCAACTCCTGTGTCACAAGTGGTATTGTGTCAATGTTTTATATTAGCTTATTGTACAGGTATTGATAAGAGTTATCTTTATTTGGGCATTAGGAGTTAACGATTATTTCAATTACGCACTATTGGTCAGAAGGTTGTATTTGTTTTATTTTTATCAACGTATACTCGTTGAACCCGTTTGTACGGTGGTATATTTAGGACACGCAATTATTTTTTTTTAATACCAGAAAAAAATTATATTGTAAAAACGACTTATTATCTTGTGAAAACGAGATATTATCTTGTGAAAACGACCTAATATCTTGTGAAAACGAGATATTATCTTGTGAAAACGAGATATTATCTTGTGAAAACGAAATAATATCTTGTGAAAACGAGATAATATCTTGTGAAAACGAGATATTATCTTGTGAAAACGACATAATATCTTGTGAAAACGACATAATATCTTGTAAAAACGACTTATTTTTTGGCTTTAAAATATGTTACAAACATAAGACTACCTTTTTAGTATTTTGCTATTCTTTGTCAGGTAGTCACGTGAATGAAGAGTATACAAGAGCTAGATAATACATGTATCAATAACGAATGCTTGAAATTACATACACATGTTCCACAATACAATTTTTAGGAACGTTCCTTCAACGTTACTGGATGTTATTAAAGCGAAAAATGTACATTGTATTCTTACATTTAAAAATTTCCGATCGTACTTCATTCAAATAAAATGGGACTCTTAAATGGGTTAAATCATTTCTAAAACTTGCATTTTATGGTTATTATCATTCTGCATCTCTACTTTAATTTCATTATTATATAAACACCTGGTTTGATAAGATATTGAAATGCCACCTACGTCTTAGAACTAGTTGTTTTATTGTGTAATCTTTCAGCAATAATGTCGTAAATACTTAAAGGTCATATCTGCAAAAGATCTACTTGTACTAATTATTTTCATGCATTAATTGAATTAAAAATATACTTTCTTTGGTCCTAAAATGAAAGTAAATAAATTTTAAACTTTTTGTCCATAGTCATGTAATATATTCTGTTAAGGGGGATGTACAAGCCATATTGTGATCTATTCTGGTGTAAAATGAGAAATAACAAGAATGCGCTTACTAGCCCAAAGTTACTCAAAGTGCTAATGCACTAATAACTCATTATTAGAGACCAAAATTAGTAAACAATTAAGTTTATTTTGTTTTAATTAGGAAGAAATTAATCATGTTAGAACTGCGCAGCTACAACATTCACGAGATGATAAATGCATTGAAAATGTGTTAGTTTGATTCATTGATGATATGGCTACAATCATTTGTTTCGCTTTTTTCTTGTCATTATACATAATTCTTAAAAATTTGATTTTATCATATGGGTGTCTTCCTGAGGCCATTTGTTTATTTCGTCCGCCATTCTTCTGTCACATAGAGTTCGAATAACATTGATTTTAGAATAAATGCGACCATAATAACATCAAGACAAGAAATTGCTAAGTAATAATCATCATGTATTATTACTTACCAATTTTTTTTTGTTGCATCGCATCGCCTGATTAATGAAAGAATGCAATTTTTACCCCACTCCAGCAAATCGGGAAAAAGTGTTCTGTTTTCAGCTCGAATTTTCTTGTTAATATTATTCCACTGAGCACGTGGTTGGCATGTGCAAATATCTACTGTGGATAGATGCGTTTTTAACCCATGATTATATTTAATTTTTCATGGAACAAGTCTCGATAATTTGTTGGTTTCTTTAAAACTCAAGAAAAAAGATAAAAAATTTCCTAAACATATGTGTTACGTCGGGTCTTTTTCTGTGGCGATAAAAGTTATTTTCAAATGGGGCACTGCAAGGAGGATGCTTAGTATTTAATTTGAAAAAGTTAAACAACATGCAGTGCATGAAAAACAAATTATCTTACATTCGAAAAGTTAGTACATATGTCTATTTTGTTTAGCAGTTAGATAGAAAAAATAGGCAGTAATAAAATTTCCTCCAGGCACCTAACATAAATAGCTAAATTATTTGCAATGACCCACACATTGTATTGAGTAATGTTTGGACATAAAAAGCATCATGTCTCATTATGTTGACAACATTGTAAGCTCTCGCCCATTGAACACACAAAGCTGTTTCTTTGAAATTTAGAAGCAAGCACAATGTTTGCAAAGAAAGGGCCATTGCATATGCTATATCTATCATCGCAAAAAACAGTAAGAGGCTATAGCCCCACCCCACCCCAACCCCCCTCCCCCACCAAAAAAATCCTATGTTTGTTTTTCAAAATAATGCCAAAGATTCAAAAATTTGCATTACTGATTATGTGATGGAACATGTACTAGCCTTATAAGACCATTTGTTATAAAAATATTTGGTTGCCCTCCTTCCCAATCTACTTCCTAGAAATGGCCCGACTCAATTTTTTTTTACATCCCATTACACTATTTTTTCTTCCGTCAACAAATATGTTTAAATTTTAAGGAATCTTTTTTCTCACCTATAAATACCGACCCAATAATTTTTCCCTGCGTTGGGAGGACCACCAAACGTCATTTTAAAGATGGTTTAAAATATAGTTATGTTGATTTTTTTCTTTAATTTTAAATAGTTTATCTGACAAAATGGGCAAAAAAATAATTTATTAAATCTTCTAACCCACGCTGAACGATTTTATTCCTTTTCCAATGTTGCTCCGCTGTAATGAAATTGTATACGAGGGGTGATCAAAAAGTAAACGATATTTTAGGTATTTGATAGTTGTATTATTGTTATTTATTAATATTCAAGTATTTTTCAAAGTGTAAATTGGAGGTCTTTGATAACACATTGCTTAATTAAAAATATATCCCTTTTCAAACTTGCTTTCACCGGGCAACATAACAAGTATCATATTAATCATCTGCCTTCCTTCACTAAAACGATCTATCCAATCATTGATTGAATTTACAGGAAGTCATTTGTCTTAATATACTGTGAACAAATTCTTTTACGCTAATTCAAAGACATTTTTAAGATATACCATATATATTTTAGTCATTTGTTGAACGAGTTCCACTGAGACAACCATTTTTCGTCTCAAGTATCTGCATAATGACGTCATTTTCACATTGTGAGCAAAACTTTATTCAGCATATGCTATTTACAGAATTTGTGTTTGCCTATGTGTGCACCAAACTTGTTCTAATCTGAATTATTTTTTTTATAGATACACATGTATCGAGATAGTTTGCGAACTATTTGATCACCCCTCGTACTAGTAGGTACTAAAACAAGGTCATTCATATCGATTTTATGTGTTTAATTTCTTTGTGTTTCAATGGTGATAATTAAACTTTTGATAGATATTATAAGTTATCTGTGGCAAACTTACAAACTCTTAATTTTTAACTTTGATGGTGCTCATTTTTCCTTACCTGGAATCAAAGAGTTTAAGATTTTTTTTTATATCAATACGTACACTTTTTAACAACTGTTCGATAATAATACTAAATTACTTCAAGAAACACTATAATACATTTCCTCTTTTAAGAGTGTTCATATTATTTGAAATATTTAACTGTAATTCTCCTCTACATTTAAAGATTGTTATGTCCGTCTATATTAAGAAGAGGTCTGGAAAACAAAATTCTGTTCTAAAAATAGACCACGTGCTGCTATCCATGAACTACTTTCTGGATCTTTACACTCTTTTTGAAGACAACGATACCTTGTTTTGAACTTAAAATTATCATTTAAAAGTGCAAAATGTAGACATTTTCTCAACAAATGGTTGTAGAGAGAACATTATTGCACAGTTTGCGTATATTTTGGATTTTTTAAAGCTTTGCTGAATTCTGTAACTGCGCAGTTCTAAGGAGCATATCAAAAGCATTTTTCTGCAACAGTATAGATAATATATGCACAGCATGCATTCAGTTATGCATATTTATTCGATTCGTATCTTAATCATAAAGACTTAAAATTTGACCAAAATATAATGTTTTTAAGCCATTAGAAGAAATGTTACATTTCGTTCTCACTGCACTAAAGGTGGCCGTACATCCCCCTTACAAACGGTTTTTACTGCCTCCTGTAAAGTACGTAAATTTCGTATACGACCTTTTATTTTCACGGCGTCGATATGCCGTTTTCACAAGATAATTATGTCGTTTTCACAAGATAATATTTCGTTTTCACAAGATAACTATATCGTTTTCAGAAGATAACTATATCGTTTTCACAAGATAATTATGTCGTTTTCACAAGATAATATCTCGTTTTCACAAGATATTATGTCGTTTTCACAAGATAATATCTCGTTTTCACAAGATATTATGTCGTTTTCACAATATACACTGCATGAAAAGTCGGGTTTAATTTTACCTTAAATGTGATTTAAATGCTGCGATTATTTAATGTTTAAATGCATATTATAACATATTGTGGGATCGTAAATGTTAGAAAATAATTAGCATTTAATACGAGTTTAATGAAAAATTAAAAGAACAAATTTAATAAAGTTTGGAAAATTGTTAACTTACTAATACGTTCAGATTTTAGTCTGCCGTAAACAATTATTATACCTCTAATATACAAAACGTATAATTATTATTAAACATGGCCATAAAATTAAGTTTTACGGTCACATTAAATTTGTTCGTTTAATAAAATTTAACGTAGATCTTTACCTCATCATTTTTTGTTAAATTCACACTTTACTTTATAATACTTCCAAAAATAAAGTTATATACGGAGAATTGTAAACTTACTAATACATGCAAATTTTATTCTTTCATAAACAAATATTAAATCTCTTGTATATGTGATGAAAATGTACTGATTAAACCTTCCCATATAATTAAGAATTAAAGTTGTATTTGATGAAATTTAACATTATTATATTATTTCATAATATTTTTTATTTTACATTTATTCCATCAATAATTTGTATGGTTTATAATTGTGGGTTTTTGGCAAGTATTTTACAATCTTACACAAATCCATTTCTCATTCAATTTTATTATATGTTATCTCAATAGTGTACAAACAATGAGTTCTAACAAAGTACAAAATATTTCAAATTTAAGCCTAAAAGTCAGAATTAAAAAATTTACAATCATGATTGTAGCTCAATTATAATGGAGTAAATTTCTACATACTAGTAGTAAGTAATATACTGAAGTCATTATAAATAATATAAGAATAGTATTGTATGTAAAATTCAAATCTGCAATAAATCAAAACACAACAGGTAAAAAATGTAGTCATTCTGGACTCCAAAAGACTGCAAAATCTGACTGAAACTGCCCCTATTAAAACTTCTGCATGGGTTGTAAATGGCTTTTCAATTTCCCACAATAAATTATATCATTCTTTGCATAAAAAGAATAAAAGTTGGCAATAAAAGTTGTCTATTCTTTTTACATGTACATTTTGATAAGAAACACTAAGCCACTAACAGAGAAGCCTCACTTGCCCACAAGCAACAGCAGAAGGATCGGTCAGAGACACCACCTTTCTCTTGCTTGGGTATCAAGATCTGCAACTTACTGTCAGCAAAGCTCTTTTAGACCACCCTTATATTGTTTCCCAAGTATTTCAACAATAGATGTCCATGCACTAATTATCCAAGTTCAACTTGAAAAATACTTAATTTTGACTGTGAAAAATACAAGACCCAAAAAAATCCTTTATATCATTTGGTTATGTCAATTCAAATTAAGGAAAAAGTATCACAATTACACAAAACAATAGCAGCTTAAATTTGTTTACAATACATGTAGCTCATTTCTGTTCCAACTGCTAGGTTTATTGCTTGATGATTGTAATATAACATATCCTCATTAAATCAACGTTACATTGGAATGCAAAACATCATTTCAATAGTGATATTTTCAACTTTGCTTTAAAATATCAAAAATTAGCTCTGAAACATGCACATATAAAAGTCCGGTATAAACATATGTAAAAGTATATTTAACAATTTTTTAAGCCTTAATTACAATTCCATAACTCATAATTCATAAACTCTCTTACTTCAAATGGAAGGAAACAAATTAATATTTTACTCTTGCAATTCTCATTTATTTACTCTTGCAATATCAATTGTTATATTTATTAATATCACAATTTACCCCTTTTTTACTCAGAAATGTCTCTACCTCATTTGCCTATTCTATTTTTTACATCTATGACTCACTAAGCCACTGACAGAGAAGCCTCACTCGCCCACAAGCAACAGCAAAAGGATCGGTCAGAGACGCCACCTTTCTCTTACTTGGGTATCAAGATCTGCAACTTACTGCCAGCAAAGCTCTTTCAGAGTACCCTTGATCATGATTGTCTTATTTTTCCACAATAATGTCCATGCACTTATTATTAAGTTAGACTTGTACATATATGTGATATATAAATCAAGATTAAAATGTATGTGATTGCAGACCAATAAATGTTTAAACAATAAAATACATAACAGTTTTAATCTGTAATCAAGCATAGGAAAAAACTTTCACTTTCGAAAATACAACACTAGGTATATTTTTCTTATCTTACATTGAATTTGTGCAAAGCAGTAGCAACTCAGATGTTTCATCTCTAATAGCCCATCTCTGTTCAATTAATACATCCATAGGTTTGACTCTTTTAGATTCTTTATTTGTCCTGGTTCTTCTTATGCTCTGCCTTTTAGAGTGCTTTGATTTGAGAATGGCACTTTTGGTGTCCTGTTCTTTTAAGACATTCTCACATTCATCAGAACGCAACTTCAGCTTTCTTATTTCATAGATAGTATTATCTTTAGAATCATTTTTTGTACTATGAAGATGTAATCATGATATTTAAAACTGCTTTTTCTTGCTTCTTCTTCTCTTCATGCCAAGAAGTTTTCAGCTCTGGAGAAGCACACCTAGCTCCTAATTTCTACAATAAACATAAAAATAAATACCCATTTGCCTATATATACATATTATATGTGTGCTTCCGGATTTATGCAATTGCATATATTAAATAGTAAAAACAAAATCTGAGTTGATTTTAAAATTATCATTTGACCTAGAGGAAGCACAGCTCAATTTTGCTTAATTAAATATTTACAGAAGACTACAAAAGATATGCCATTTTTTCAAATCTGGGTAACACAGACAGATAATTATCTATAATTTCAGGCCAGCGAGCTACAGATTTCGAAGCGTGTAAATTTGGGTCTAATGATTTTTTTCGCCATCTTTTTTTTGGAGCATTTTACCTGCTTGACCTTGAACATGTTGAGGTGCCCTTTTCTCTGCTCCTCCACACTAATTCTTTCATTTAGCAGCAAGATACTATGGATATGGTGAAAAGCTGTCATAAACAAAATATGAAAAATTAATAACAGGTGTGGCTCTCCATAGAAAGAATATTCAAAAAAGGAGAAAAAAATATACAAACAGGGTATATTTATGACTAACATGATTACAGCAAGAAGATAACATTTTACACTATGAAAAAAATTCTCTGTGTCATCTAGTTAAGTGAATTGCATAAAAAAAAAACATATACATGTGTAATTATATGTACAATGTATAGATCAAATTTATAGATGACAAAATATGATACGAAACATACATAATGGTACCGTAGTCCGAGCACATGGAATTTGAAGATTTACAAAGTTTAGGAAAATGCAAAGAATAGCATTTACAGCACTTATCATATTAAGACACACATATATATAGTTTCACAGCAGCAAGCTGCAGAATTTGTGGAAGTACATGTAAATTGGGGACTGGTGATTTTTTGCCATCTTTTTTTTTGGCAATTTACCAATGTATTTACCTGCTTGACCTTGAATATGTTGAGGTGTGCATCCCTTTTCTTCGTGTTCCTCCACGATATTTTATTTAATGTAGCAGAAAGATACTATGGATAAAAAAATATGAAAAATTAAAAGCAGGTATGGCATCTCGTAGAAAAAATATACAAACAGATGTATTTATGATATAGAACAAGTAGATAACATTCATACAATAATAAAATCCTCCAACTTTGTGATCTAGTACATATTATGATATGTATTATATTAAATTTAGAGACGACAAAACATGATATCAAATGGGTGTACATACTCGGAACACATGGAATTTAAGAGTAAACTTAAATGCAAAGGTTAGCATCTACAGCATTTAACATGCAAGTTATTGGGATAATGAACAAGTGATTTAACATAATTAAAGTAAAATATATTAACAACTTACACTGTAGATAGCAAGTTTTTAAAGTGGACAACAAATGCAAACTTCCAGTAAATGGTGGTAATCTCATACACAATAAGTTGTACAACAAATGATTAGTTCGTACATCATACTGGGTAGCCAAATATCTGGTCAAGTCACTTTCAGGAAGAGAGTCTCAGCAAGTTCAATGTTGATCATTCCCATAGCTACTTCAAACTTTTCTGGCACAATTTCTGAAAGAAAAGATGTATCTTGCAGGGATTTTTATTCAAACTAGGAATAATTCTCATGAATGTAAAAATTTGAAAAGTTTATAGATGACCGACGAATACCAGACACAGAACAGAAAACTTGCTCGGGTCTTAAAATGGCTCAGGTGAGCTAAAATAAATCAATTCATGTGATTTTATTGATCTTATCAGAAAATTTAAGAAATCTTACCGTTGTGTTAATCTTCATATTGCTTTTGTCATTTCTTGTGAGCATTTGGATTCCTGTAAATAATGCATGCATAATTGTGCATCATAGAATGTGATAGCTTTTTTTTAATAATTCATGCTTACGTATTTAACGTAAATAAATTATGCATAGCTCAGAATCCATTGCTATTGTATTTTTAGGATAAGGAAAATAAGAAAATAAACCTCATATTGTCTACTTGGTATATAGCATTTCAAGTTGTTGCAATATTTTTTATACTCTTATGCATAAAGATACAAGTTAATAAAACATTGTTTGTTTATTTGTGATAATAGAAAATTTGAGTGGTATGGTTCTCACCATTTTCACAAGCTGTGTACATAGCCGGCGTTATGGGGAATCGTCTCAGGCACAGTCCACACTGCAACTATTTAAATAATCAAAATAAGTGCTCAATATATTCTTGAGTAGGCATTAAGAAATAAATAAATAATTAATTACATTGTACAACACTCTCTGTAAATGCTGAACAGAGGAAAACTTTAGTGACAAAAATTCTGAAACCAATCCCAAACGAGAAAATTCTGGTTAAAATCCATCTTTAAGTTAGATGCCATTGGTTAAAAGTGTTAAATAATTATTACAAAATGTAAATAGCGCTTGCCCAAACGTTTTTACTGCCAGGCATTTTATGTGTACAGCCCAGACTAAGGAACAGTAACATTATCAGTAGCAGAGGCAATTATTCATTCAAGGACACATCATGTGTCACATGATAAAATTTTGTACATTGTCCATACCGCTAATCAGGGTCGTAAATGTCTTCATCTTCTGTTAAAACATAAATTCCATCCAAAGTTTATCATGCTTCTCCTTTTCGAGTAACTCTCTTTCGCCCCTTCCTCCCGTACAACATCATGATCAAGTTCAACATGGTTGCATGGAACTCTCCAAAAAATTGAATTTCGGCGCGGTGTGTTGTTTTTAAATAAATTGCTTTTCGAGCCCGACTTCGATCCCGATGTAATTGTACTACAGTGGTAGTCGATAGAAAAAAAAACTAAGTTATATTCCACAGTTTTGAAAAATCTACATAAGGGTTAAATAAATAAAAATGAGAAATAAATAAATTAGAATGAATAGGGTGCCTAAATATTTTTTTTCAAAAATGTTTCAACATAAGTTTACATTAGGTATAAAGAATAATTTATGACATATTCAAAATACCAAAAATGTACTTAAACTTTAAGTATAAGCATATTTACTTTTACATGTCGATATTCTTAAACAGGACGTATAATAATCTCAATTAAACTATTATTATTCTCGACGTATTTTGCAATAAATAAGATTATACTTATTTGAAAACTGTTTTTAATTATATCACAATATCTCATGAAAAATTTACCGTTATACATAAATTAAATTCAATACAAGAAATTTACTGGAGTAAACGAATTTATTAAATTATATGAAACGCGACTTTTCATGCAGTGATAATATCTCGTTTTCACAAGATATTATGTCGTTTTCACAAGATAATATCTCGTTTTCACAAGATAATATCTCATTTTCACAAGATTATTATGTCGTTTTCACAAGATAATTTTTTTCTGGTATTAAAAAAAAGTAATTCGTGTCCTAAATATACCAACGTACGTTTAAGTAGTTTGGTCAGTTATTTATACTGGATGTTGGCTAGTGTTTGTCAGAAGAGGTATGGACGCCGTGAGTTATACTTTACCCATGCTTAGTGATCTTGGGTGTGTCTTTTATAAAACCCATGTTGTTTGAACTTGGATGTGTTCTAGCTGTTTCCCCTGATGTGAGATCTTTGGATTCAGGGATGTTTTGTAGCGGCGTTGAGAGCAAGACCTGGGACCGACAGTATGGTTTTTATGTATAAAATGCCACTGCTCAGTAAGTTTTTACACTTTACAATATTTTTCTTGCTAACATAAAGAGCAATTTTCTATGTAAAACTGTTAGCAATATAGCGAGAATGTATATATTGACGCTCTAATTCATTTACTTGTTAAACGGCAAAATTACATGTTTTCTTTTGTAATTTGTTTGTAAAATCTAGTATTTTGAACAGAGATTTGTTTGAAATATTTTATTAGAAAACCCTATGAAAATTGTAGGTGACCGAAATTGTATATTAGCTTAATTGGCACGGGAGGATTTATTTACGTGGTAAAGCTACTTAGGATATGGTGAACCGGACGGGAAACTATGGTTGACAACTTGGACAATATGGTGGACAATGGACGTGGTTTGAAGTGTGAATCTGTCCAGTGATGACCATGGTTGAACTTTTGGCCGTTTTCATGTTAATTGTGCATATGTAGATAAATTTATTGTTAATTTTTATAAATCTTGTTGTTTCCTGGTATAAAGTAGGTCTTCCAAAATATTTGTTTTGGGTTGTTAATACAAATTAAAGAACCCAGCACAACTTGAGATCAGTTGTGACATCCTGCCGACCGGACACAACCGCCTTATTTTCCTTGTTATGCTCGGAAAATAATGGAAAAATCTGTGGTTAATTCAGTGTGTAAATAATGGACTGACAATGAGTATGAAAAGTTAGTCAGTATTTTATTCAATGATACATTTTATTTGCTGACAAGGTTATTGACTCAGAACTCATGAAATAATAACTAAAGTAGACAACTGATATTCTTGTTTCATCGACTTGCTTGTCAATAATTTACTTCATTTTAGAAATTGTACAATCGAAGATCAATTTCTAGAACATCGAATCAACTTCGAATGCAGGTGATGAAGTTAATATGCTGATTATTTCGAGACTGTATATTAACCTAAATATGAATGTACCTATAACCTACATGTAAATCTATGCGTAGATAGTGCATAACGCATGGAAGTTAATACATGTAATTCTTTTGGATAATTATGAGACTATACTTATTGTTTGGCGAGCTTGTCATGGCCGTTTATTGCAAATAATTCAAATAATATCAATAACAAATTATGCGCCGATCATACAAAGATATGGCAGCATACACACAAACATATACACAAGCAGTAGAACTACCATCTTGGCCCGAGGGACCTGGAAAAAACAGTGCCCCCCGGAGATGGTATTCTATGCAAAATTCTGCCATCAAGCAATATATTGATCATCAAAGTCTTTAACAGGCTTGTCACTGGACCAAACATCGAGAATGAGACCGTCTCCATAAAACTTTGGCCATGACGCTGAAAAGAGAAATTAGCAGAACGAAAGAACCTTTTCTTTGAAAAACACGAATTCAGAATTACACACATTAAATACGAATAGTTTCAACATTAATTAATAATCAAATCTGTTTCAATTTATATGCCACCATCATGTTTACTATAATTATGGGCAGGGAGGGTGGGGATTCTTCCAAAATTTTCCCGGCATACACCTTCTGAGAATGACGGAAAAGGAAGCTAAAGTTGAGCATGCTCAATGATATGCTAAATTAGTTGCACGAAAGAAATTAGAGTTATCCTTCTTGACCCATAAAAAAATTAAGATGCAAATTGTGCTCAAAATAACCTGGCTTATCCATATGAGATAAACCTAAATAAGTATGGGAAATTGACGATTGAAGAGTTAAAGTCATCACGCTTATCAAAGGGGTTGGTTGTTAAATTACAATTAACGTCTTTTTCAAGTGAAATGTCCAAATTTCTAATCGATGTGTCTGACTCTATGGAATCTTTTATATTAAGGTCACTTGGATATATGGAATCGACATAAGAATAAAATACTGTATGCAGTGAAATGTTCGCCCCAATTTTTTTCGCTCCCTTCGCCCTACCCTAGTCTAGGAAAATATTATCAATCTGATCATGATTGCCTATCAATTACCGTGTTCTCGATATCTAGAAATTTATAATTATACAAAATAAATAAAGCAAATGCCGTGCGCGAAAGTTAAAAAAAAGTACAATTGAAGTATTCTATAGGTGTACAATTGAAGCATCACGATCCCCAAATATAATATAATTTCATCATGCTGAAGTAGTCGGCTAGGTCGTTTAAAAGTATGTTAAAATGACAAGGAAAATAATTCCATTCATTCTATGTATTTTTTTCATCTTAAGTTGTAAAATTCATAAGAAACTATGATGAACATAAAATATACGGGAATATTAAAAGGAATAGTATTCGAGCTCAAACGTCTTTCGCCCTACCCTCATCTGGGCAAATATAAAACGGGGCGAATTCAAAGGATACAGTATAAACTGATAAATCTATGACGGGGCGAATTTAATACGGACTAAATCCAAAGGAAATCTGATGTAGTGATATTTATAATTTGCTATACTCTGGATCCGTGTAAAATGATAATCCATGTATAGATTGTGAAACTCCATGTATAATTTGTATTATTTACATTCGCTGTGTTTTTCTAGTAAGCTTACTGTGAAATTGATTTGAAAACCATTTTCGTGTCGCGTAGAAATATACACAGACAAAAGTGCGTAAACTTGACGTCACAATGAGTCTGCAGCGACGTGAGTAAAAACGCAACGATATAGGGCAGCGAGAAATTCAAATATTTAGCATATTTTAGTTGCTTCCAAACATGTAAAATGTAAATATAAGGAATGTTTTTCAGTTCAGTGTGAATTATTGGTGTATTGGTGGATCTATGTATAATTTGTGAAACTCCATGCATAATTTGTGATACTCCATATGTAATTTGTGATACTCCACGTTTAATTTTTGATACTCATTGTATAACTTTTGATACTCCATGTATAATTTGTGATACTCCAGGTATAATTTGTGATACTCAATGTATAAATTGTGATACTCAATGTATAATTTGTGATACTCAATGTATAATTTGTGATACTCCATGTATAATTTGTGACACTCCAGGTATAATTTGTGATACTCCATGTATTATTTGTTATACTCCATGTATAATTTGTGATACTCCATGTATAATTTGTGATACTCCATGTATAATTTGTGATACTCCACGTATAATTAGTGATACTCTAGGTATAATTTGTGAAACTCCATGTATAAATTGTGATACTCCACGTATAAATTGTGATACTCCATGTATAATTTGTGATACTCAATGTAAAATTTGTGATATTCCATGTATAATTTGTGATACTCCATGTATAATTTGTGATACTCCACGTATAAATTGTGATACTCAATGTATAATTTGTGATACTCAATGTATAATTTGTGATACTCCATGTATAATTTGTGATACTCCAGTTATAATTTGTGATACTCAATGTATAAATTGTGATACTCCATGTATAATTTGTGATACGTCGTGTATAATGTTTGATAGTAAATATATAATTTGTGATACTCCATGTATAATTTGTAATACTCTATGTATAATTTGTGATATTTCACGTGATACTCCATGGATCATTTGTTATACCTTATGTATAAATTGTGGTACTCCATGACTGTTTAATTTGTGAAATTTTATGTATAATTTGTGATTCTCAATGTATAATTTGTGATACTCCATGTATAATTTGTAATACTCCATGTGTAATTTTTATACTCCATGTATAATGTTTGAAACTTCATGTATAATTTGTGAAACTCTATGTATAATTTGTGATACTCCATGTATAATTTGTGAAACTCTATGTATAATTTGTGATACTCCATGTATAATTTGTGAAACTCTATGTATAATTTGTGATATTCCATGTGTTATTTGTTATACTCCATGTTTAATGTTTGAAACTTCATGTATAATTTGTGATACGTCGTGTATAATGTTTGATACTCCATACATAATTTTTGATACTCGATGTATAGGCTTTCGTATTTGACATGTCCAATGCTTGTATCAAGATGTTTCTCAGCATGCTTTAATATTTTACTACTTGAGCTTGACCTTCATGTTAACCTAATTTAAAAAAAATAAAAAAAAAATTAACTTACTTTTGCATGACACATTATAGGGTATTTGGTAAGGATCACTAGGTTATATATGTGTAATTTACCAGCAACATAACAAACTAATTTTATTGCTAAGCTTTTGCTTTTTTTTTTAGATCATTGTTAAAAAATTTAAGGGACTTATTGAAGAGAAAAATGTTGACGACAAAAACAAACGAAATTTACACGTAATTTAAGAAAACCGATCTTTTCTTTTAGTTAGCTGTCAACAATTTTTTGAATTCAATAT